TCTGGAATGCCCATAATTCAGATATTTTTACGCTTAAGATTGTCTGAAGGCTCTTGTAGATTTTCTACAATTAAAAAAAAATTTTTTTTTGACCACCTGGGTTATTTCAAAGACTGTCTTTGAGATCAGAACTTCTTTCCTTTGTTTGCTGTAGCCTCTTGCTTAAGTTCTTGGTTATATTTTTTATTTCTTTGAGTGAATCTTTCAGCTCTAGAAGTTCTGCTGTCTTCTTTTTTAGGGTGTCTGTCTCCCTATACAATTCCTCCTTCAGGTCCTGGATCATTTTTCTCATTTTGTTGGGTCATATATCAGGGTCTTTTTGTATCTCGTGGAGTTTCCTTAAGTTTGTTGCTCTGAATTCCTTTTCAGACATTTCAGAGTTTTCCAGCTGTTTGGGGTCTGGTACCAGAGAATTATTTTATTCCTTTGGGACTGTCATATTTTCTCATTTAGTTATTGTTAGTATCCTAACGTTTATATCTGGTCATCTGGTGGAGCAGTTGCCTCTTCTATTACTCTGGAGTGTCTTTTGAGGAGAGAGATTCCCTCCTGTAGATGTGTTTTATACTGACTGTTGGAGGATGTTTTAGTTTTGATTCTGGATAGATGCGGTAATATAGTCTCAGTGTGGTTACTTTGATGGAGTTGTCTGTGAGTGCCAATGTGGCCCAGGCACTGGGACACTCAGTAGTCCTTGGTAAAGTGAGTGATGCCGTGTTGGGTTGTTGAAGCTGTGGGCAAGCTCTTGAGCTCTTGAGAGAAGTGCCTGGGTGCCCCTTCTCTCATTGCATGAGGTGGATGACCCTGGTCGAACTTGCTGACACCCTGGCTAGTGTCCTTGACCTTATAGGTGCACTGGGATGTACTGAAGCTCCTGAGCTTAAATGGACGGCCCTAGGCAGGGTTTCTCTTTCATCTTTGCTGCAGGGAGTGATTTCTCCTGGGTCATTGCTTCTCCATCTTCTCTCTTTCCTCCTGCCTGGTAAATCACAGGAGCACCTGAATTTGGGTAAGGTGGAGCTGGTAGCACCTAGGCTGGGTATGGGTCGGGGACAGAGTGGACTGCTGTATGGGAGTGGTGGTGACAATGGTGGCAGTGCTTTGGGGCTGGGTGATGGTGATGGTGGCTGTAAGGTCATGCTTTCCTCTGTGTTTCAGGAGGTGGACTGCCAAGGGCAGAGCTCCTGAGCCATTTCTCTGGGAGTGCGTGAGGCTGTTAGGCAGGGCTGCAGTGAGGGGGCCTGTCTAGTCCCTTCTTGTGTGGTGGGTGGGGCCACTAGGCAGGCCTGTAGTGAAATGACCCATTCAGCTGCTCTGGTTAGTGGGCTGGACTGTTGTGTAGTCCTGCAGTGAAGGGCCAGTGCAGCCACTTCTGCGACTGCTGGCAAGGCTGGTAGAGGGACTGTTCAGAATGGAACTGCCTGGCCCCTTCTCAGGGAAGGGCAGATGAACTTTATTTCCACTGGCCTAAGGCCGTATCATTAGGGTAGAGACTCGTGAGCTGTTTTTCTGGATTGGGGGCTCAGGAGCACAGAACTTAGCTGGTGGGGCTGTGGGTGAGGGGAGAAATGGGGGTGATCTGCTTGAGGAGGTTCTGCCTGCCTGCTCTCTGCCCAGGGACATGGATGTGTGTCAGTTCAGCAGGACTAAGGTTGGCTTCCCAGACTGCAGAACTAGAGTCACAGGTGCTGTGAGCCCAGGCTTCAAGCTGCTGGGATCGGGACCTTACAGCCTCTCCTATGGGTGTACTGGGTGGAGGGAAGAGCCTTAAGTCTGAGGAAGCGCCCTGGCTACTCACCCCAGGGCAGGGTGTGCTCCTGTAAGTAGTCTGGTTTCAAGATGGCGCTGTCCTGCATCCGCTTGGGTCCCGAGGGTGGGAGACGGGGAGTGCATAGTTTGTGCTCCTCTTCTAGAGAGACACCATGTGGGGTTTTTTTAGGGCATTCCCCACACTTGGCTCCAGGATTGTCTCACTGAAGCATTTGTAGGCCTCTGTGGTGAGCATGTACTTTGGTGTGGGCCTCTGCCCTGGTGTTGGAGACATGGCGGCTGGGGCCTCTCTCTCCTCTCTGTGGCACCATCCTGGACTTTCTTGCTCCCCAGCCATCTCACCAGTCTCCTGCTGTACTCTTTTGCTCTTTCACCAGTGCTCCTGTTAATATTTAGCGGTCTGTTAGTTGCTCTGGTCCTCTTGTGTGGGAGGAACCCACCCTGGGCACCTGTAGTCCGCCATCTTGCCCTGTCTTCCTATGACATTTTCTTAAGAGTATTTTTTTTTTTTATAAAGGAACAATCTGGGGCTGATATTTTTAAAAGATGTCCTATGTGGGTAGCTTAGTGAGAAATGGTGAAAAGATATTAGTAAATAACTGTGAGCAGGGGCAACCAGCAAGTAGGCATCACTGAGGTTACTGAATATCCCAGCAAAAATGTCAGAAAGAAAGTTTTGAGAGGTCACAGGAAGAGTGGGATGGAAATGGTGCCCTTAATCTGGGAGGGCCCTAGCACAGGTGCCAGGAGGAGAGTGTGGCCTCCTTGTGAGTTTCTTGCAAGTGCTAACATCCCAGCTGTCTGCTTGGCTTGGTTGCTCCTGGCCAAGAAAGTGATAGGTGTGATCATGTCGTGTTAGTCTTTAGTAAATATTTCCAGTCTGAGAAGAATGGGTTTTTTTATGCTTTCGACTTTTTTTTTTTTTTGGATATGAAAAACACCCAGTTCAAAAGTCAAACTACATAAATGGAAACTGTCAGAGAAATCTCATTTTTGTCCCTATCTCTTCCGTCCCATACCACTCATCCCACTCAGAGTAAGCATTGTTATTAGTTTTTACTATACCCTTCCTATGATTCTTTTTGTAAAAAGCAAGCCAAATGTACAGTTTTCCTTTTTCAGAAAAGATAACATTCTGGACACACCCTTTTGCATATTGCTTTTTCACTTAACACCGTGTCTTGGAAATCAACCCATATCAGTTCTCAGAGACCTTCATTCCTGTTGGCAGCATAGTACTCCATTGTGTGGGTTGCTATCGCTACCGCCAGCATTCCCTGAATAGACATTTATGTCGTTTCCAGGATCTTGCTACTAGAAATAATGCCACAATAAGTAACGTTATACATATAATTTTTCATGTTTGTGGAAGGAGATTGTATTAGTTCGTTTCTGTTATAACAGAAATACCTGAAACTGGTTAATTGGCAAATAAACAGTATTTATTGCTTATAGTTTCAGAGGCTGGGAAGTCCAAAGTCCAGGGAACACATCTGGTGTGAGCCTTGTTCTTGGTGGTAACTCTATAGTGACACAGAGTGTCCCATGGCAAATGTGGCAGGAGCAGAGAGGGAGCTAACTCCTCATGTGCTGTCCTTTTAAAGCCCTCAGAACCACACCTATGACCACCATTCAACCATCAACTTATTAATCCATTCACTAGGGCATGGTCCTGCAATCTAATCACCTCTTCATGGCCCCACCTTTCAATTACAATAATAGGATTTCCCACCCTTCTAACCCTGTCACAGTGGGGATTAAGTTTCTAGTACACGGACTTTGGTGAATACAGTTCAATCCAAGGCAGAGATCATCTATAACTAAAGAGAAATGTGTTCGTAGTTTTCCAGATAGCCACGTATGAGGGTGCCTGGGAGTTGTGCTGTATGTCACAATTCACTGCTTTTATGTAACCTGTAGCTTTCAAACACCTCCATGCCCAGATTCCCATGCACACGTCTGTGTACACTCACTCTCCATTACACTGCGTGGCGGCTGTGTGTTGAGGAGGTTGAGGCTGGAGTGCATGCTTTGCCCAGTCTCTCACCCTGCTAAGGGTCTCCTCTGGTTCTCCATCTGCCATCTGCAGTCTCAGGACAGCACGGTGGAGCTGGAGGTGGGTAACATGGGTTCCTCAGGGTGACGCCGATCAGACTAGGAGAAACGATGCCAAGGGTGCTGATTTTGCCACCACAAAGTAACTTTGTGGCCCCGAGCAAGACACCCACTAAAGGCTCCAGTTTTTTATTCTGTAAAATGGTATTCTTAATATTCACATATCCCAGAGACAATGTGAATTCAAAAGCATGAAGTACTTTGTTTGGGAGAAAAAATCCTTTCTAAAATGTGACACGTTCATGCTGTTTCTGTGACAGCTTTAAGAATTGGGAGCTTTGATTCTAGGGTATAGATGAGGAGCTGCTCTGGATTAGGGAACCCTGTAAACAGCACGAAACTCCAAAGGACTGAGTCTCTTTAGAGCCGCAGGTGGGGCTGGGGCTTGCGGCCTGAGATCTGGTGTTCCCTGGGCTTTGGGGCCGGCCAGCATCGGGGAGGCTGTTTGATGGTTGTGTGGAGCTTGAGTGTCACGGTCCAAGGAAGTCTGCCTGTTTCCGCACGGTGATGAAGCAGAAAGAACCATTTAAAGTGTCACAGGGAACAAAGTCCCGGTCTCTCCGTTAATCACAGAAGACTCTAGTAAAATGAATTGTAATTTGTGGCAGAAACCTGAAATTGTTCTTTCTTGCCAAAATAAATTGATTTGTTTGGCCATCTGAGCATCTTTTCTTGAACTGGACAGGAGCTAACCTAGTCTAAATTAAACTCATTTTCCATTAATAAATTGGGTCACTTCAGGCTGCCCGAGTATGTTCTGAGTGTCTTAAAGCACATTCCAAAAATCTAGAGTTTCACACTGTTTTCATAGCCCATCTAATTTAGCCAGTGTAGCACTTAACATTTGCACGCACCTCTCCCCCAGCGTGCTGCTATAGATTTGGGGTCTATTTCTAACTTCATTACAAAGCTGCCAGGCAGAGTGTGGCAGGGGGCATCGTCGTACACCTGCTGGAGCTGGGGAGCATCACAGAGGGAGCTGAGCAGTGAGCCCATGCCCTGCCCAGAGGAAGCTTCAAGTTCACCGTGCCTTTGCTGGTGTTGCTAATGCCAGTAGCTTTGCACTGCAGTGTTCTGAAGCTTTTATTTAAACATAGGGACCAATAAACTGGATCATGGAGGTAGGAAGTTATGAATTAAAAAAAGTGATAGCATGAGTGGAATTATATTAGAAAACCTTTGTTCACAGATATCAGAGCATCTCTGCATAACTGGTGACCCTGGCTTGCTGTCACTCATTGCAGGTGTGTGTGAGCCACCAGGGAGGCATCTGGCCGCCTTCTCTGAGGCCTGTGCAAACTCCTCTGCCTGTCCTGCCCTGGGGATTGGAGTCCCACCTGTGGAATGTCAGGGCTTGCACTTGGAAGGCGCAGGGAGGCTCCCACTGCTTTTCCCCATTCCCTCCTCCTCTGTCCTGCATGTGTGAGATGGCATGCACAGGGTGGGCCTGGTCATGCTGCCGAGGAGTCCTGGCTGGCAGCATTTAGCAGACATAGGTCCCTGCCGCAGGACTGATGGTTTGAATATGGCTTTTGGAATGTGCTGAAATATAAAGATCTAGAAATGTTAAAAATGGGAGATGAGTTTCAAAAACAAAAATGGGAGAAAATGGAAATCTTGTAGTACTTTATTTCTAACACTCTTTAGTAATCTGAAGGATCAAACCGTGCAAATTTTAAATAGATGAAGTGTCTTTAACTTACATTTTTAATGAGATGGTCGCACTCTTGTGTATGTAGAGATATAAAATGCTGGAAAAATTATAGAAAAATAGATATTTTCCTGTTTTCTTTCCGTTCAGAAAATTTTAAAGAAATACAAAGTCGTGAGAAGGGGGCAGATCTCCCTCCAATTCACTGCCCCGATCCTCAGCTTTTCATGCTTTGCAGCAGAGTCCTCTCATCCTTCCTTCTTGCCTCTGTGAGAGTTTCTCTGCAGTATTCAGATCACTCATCACTGACAAAGTTTCTCTTCTATTTCCAGTGCACAGAGGCCAAAAAACACTGCTGGTATTTTGAAGGACTCTACCCAACATACTATATGTAAGTATTTGCCCTTTTCTGTTGGTTTGATTCTGTGGTCACATCTTTCTCTGGAATTTTCTCTTTAATGGGTATAGGATAGGCTGGGGGTTGGGGGTTGGTGACTGGGGCTGGGGGCTGGGGACTGGGTCTGGGGGCTGGGGGCTAGGGCTGGGGGCTGGGGACTGGGGAAGCCTGGGCTGGCCCAGCCTCTGCCCCACCTTTCCTCGTCGATGAGCAGCAGTCTCTCTGAAGGCATTTTGCCTGCACCAACCACTTACTTTGAAGACAGCGTGAGATACCGTGTACTCTGTCTTGTGATGCAAATTAGCTCATACGTGATTGGTAAAAAGGGGCAAGATGTCTATGGAAAGCAAAAGTTATGTTGGTTTATACAAATTTTCCAAGACAAAGAGAGCAAGGAGTAGATCTGCATCCTTGAGCAGGGCAAGGACAGGTCTTCAGCTGGGCTCTTGTGAGAGAGAGAGAGAGAGAGAGAGAGAGAGAGAGAGAGAGCTCACCTGCCCCAAGGCCCCTGCCTGGTGAGGTGCAGATACAGCTGTATGTGGCCGGCCTGTGCTGTTCTACGTCTTCCTGTGCCCACCTTAGTACCTTCCAGTCTCACTGTAATTGAAGCATTGCTGCCTTTTCTCCCTGTTGTTTTTATGTACTTTTTTTTTTCCTTTTTGACTTTTTTTGTGACCGGTAATGGGATCACAACCCTCAGTGTCGCGCCCATACCGCGACCGGCAACGGGATCGCAACCCTCGGTGTTGCGCCCGCACCATGCTCAACCAGTGAGCTGACCGGTCTCTATATGGGATCCGAACCCTCAGCAGGAGCGCCCCTGCGCTCCCAAGAGCCACACTCTACCGAGTGCGCCACCGGGCCAGCCCGTTTTTATGTACTTTTAATATCTGCTGTGTTAGCCAGTAGCTATGCAGAGCCACCTGCTTAGGTGGCCAGATTAACTGTCCAGGTTATCTATTATTGTTTTCAAAGTTCCATAGGTTTTAAGTGGAATTCCCCAAACCAGTTTTTTCACAAAAGCTCTGTTATTTTTAGTATTGACTTGAAAAACATGAGATTTTTTAGGATTGTATATATTATATCAGAAACACTATATATTCTAGCATATAGGGTAATTTCATGGGAAATACATAATAGTAGCAAAAAAGGGTTATTTCTTAACCAACTAGGATATACATTTTTCTTCCGTCATTCTGTGTGTCG